ACACAAGAATGACCCATTAAAGTTACCCCTTCGATGAAATTTAACCCTTTTAGAGGGGTTCAAAGCATACAAGTGATAATTTCGGGTCTATGCCAGGCAACCGGTTTCGGGCATCTTCGGAAACAAGTGGGGCACGTCGTGTGATGCGGCGCGTGCATTGCATGTGTGCGTGGTGATGCGTCAGTCAAGCGAATTTTAAATTCGGCCGTCTTCGGACATCTTCGGAAAGAAGGTTGGAAATTTCGGTGCTGATTGTGTGAATCAAGCGAATCTGAAATTCACGGTCTCCTCGAGGCTCGGAATCTTCCAGGCTCGGTTCGGAGCCTTCAAAGCTCCGTGTGTTCGAGACCCAGGCACTTCATTTTTTTTTTTGTTTATTGGATAATTTATATAGTCGATGTATGCACATTGAATGGGGCAGAGGGAATGTACTACAACGGAAAATGTGTTTTAAGTTGCAGATTGCAATAACAATCAAGAAATAAAGAGAAGTCTATCCGGATAAGATGGTAAAATGTGCTCTTGAAGGAAATACAACTTGCAATAAGCCATTCGATAGAGTGTCCAAAGCAAACGTTTTGTGCCAATTTTCAACCCTCTGTCTCAATCCGGAGGGTAGTTATGGGGATTAATCAGTTTTAGCGTTTTTCCTATATTTCTCTTATTAAACGTCGAAAGTCGCGAACATGTGCTCGTGTAATGGCGAACGCGTGTCCGTTGAACACAATCAGTTAATATCGACGCCACTAAGAACTGGCGAATAATTACGCGTCGAACGCAATATAATACCACCGAGGAGAGATTACTAAAAAGTGGCAACGCCTGTGTTAACGCGCGGCCTGAAAAAGGGGCCCAAGAGCAGGGGTCTCGTAATTTATCCCACGGCCGGAAAGTGGGGACGACGCGACCATGGGGACCAATAGTGGGTGGGGGTATGCAGTGATTTTCACGGTAGCACTGCGGAGAGCTTCGCGAACGCGCATGAGCACGCATGAGGGGAATAGTAGTGGGGATCGAAATACGGGCGAAAAACAGGGGAAGCGAGCCTCGTGGGATAAATTACGAGACCCCTGCCCAAGAGGGCTCGAACCGGTAAGGTAGATGCATGAAATCCCACAGAATGACTGCTTCGGCGTGTACCGACGTTCAGACTCACTGGTGCCGGTGCCGATGTTTTTTTCCAGCACGGTAGGTAATAGGTAACCGTAGAACGCTGACATTATGAATTTTATACTTGTTTCGAGATTAGTACTTCGAAAATAGATTACCCATCATTTTCAAATTTTGTCACACTTGTATTACTTTATTTTCATTAGTGCACACCATATTTTGTATTTGAAGCAAGAATAAAAGTAATTGGCATTTAATATCTTAATGAATATCAGTGTTTAATTGAGATTAGTTTCTGAATTAATATTCGGAAAATCGGAAGTCATTGGAAATTGTAGTTCTTCATTTGTTAGCGTATCCAAGTCTAACTCGTGAATTCAGTTCGGACACTGAAATTTAATATCTATTTAATATCTTAATTAATATCACTGTTTAATTGAAATTAGTTTGTTCATTGTTGTTATATCCACAAAATAGCGTAATTCGTNAATTTGCATTATAGTATGATCATTTTCTTCACGCGCGGTATGTAAGTACTTCTTTCATATCTATCTATCTTTATTGATCACGTTGTACTTTTTCTTTATCTTTATCTACTTGTGAGATCTCCACTGGCAATTGTAGGTGGTAAGGAACGAGTAGTGCCGTGGACATTTAACCGAGGGTAGGGTACAGTAGCTCTGTTGCAACGTCGCCTAATTTATGACGCCTTCAAGTGTGTCCGCAGGCACTTTTCCTACTCGTAACTCGCCTCTGGCCTCGCAATGATTTTGTTCAACGAGCATTTTCGACATTTAGGAATTTCGATTCCCTTATGTCTTGTACTATGTAAATATTAAGCCTATTTACGAGAAAGATTGATGTATCAATTATTAAAAAACTAAATATCTATAGTCTCGTTCCGTCGTGTCGTTTTTAAAAACATGAGAGGCTCGTCGATCTAAAAAAATTTAATTTCGGTAGTTCAAAGAAATATGCATTCAAAAATAATGACTTTGGCCATGCATTGAATCAGACCTTTAAATTCGAGGTCGACTCTTTTGACCGTTTGACCGTCGATGCTCGACGAACTACGTTTACCTCACATCTGTTCGGTCACTTCGTCAAACGGTGCTTGAATTCATTAAAAGAAAAATGCCACCTTCCTATGTACATGTGAATTTTAGTTATAAATCTCAAATTCCACTAAATAGGCATTACAATGTTAAAAAAATTCATATTTACGGATATATGTGGATTGCTCCAACTTATTATTTGATATAGAGCGTTCCTTATACTATAAAACAAAAGCGTAGTAGAAAAAAGCCCGCCACTATTCGATGTCTGAAGAATTATTGAAATAATACCTGCTTGTACCACTTTTATGTAAAATTTACATATTAATATTCCCATTGAAATTTAGAGTATATACATATTTGAATAAGCAAACAAATTTTAAGAAGACTGAATAGTAAAAATTATTTATATTTTGCGAATATAATATTTAGATAGAACTGGATGGGACTGAGATACTCGGTGAACTTCTTATGGATCTGACTCTTATCGAAGGAAGCCGCTTTTGCTCGGATGGCGAAAAGTGAAGAGCGTTCACTTACAAAGGCACCTGACGATCGAATACATCGCTTTTGAAATGACAATGCGTTTAAGTTATAGTGTACACCTAGTACTGAAAAACCCTCATGGGTTTCTGTAAAATGAGCTTTTGTTTTTAAGATATTTTGATTTAAAGTTTTCAACCAATATGTAAGTCGTTCTGTTACGCACACTTGCAAGATGTACGGTGGGTTAGTGGGTAGGGTCGTTGACAATGAAACTAATGGTCTACGGCTCGAATCCTCTTGGTAGATATGTTTTTTTTCTTATAGTTTTTGTACGAGAGAAATCTATATTGTTTCTCATTTAATTTTAATTGTCTCTAACGTCAATTGTAAGACAATCAAATTAATACGAATAGGAAGTACACTGGAAGTAACATTATTAAACACGTTTACGTGTATTTTTCTGTAAGCGCACTGTAAATATATTTTTCTCTATGAACCATTCTTACCGAATTTTTTGTAAGAATCATTCGGTACTTACGACTGTCTACCAGGTTTGAAGGTAATATATTGAACAATGTTTTTCGAGGAAGGCGCTTATTATGAACTATAAGTACAATATTGCGAATGATACTTTTCATAATTCACAAGCGTACCATGCACACTTTAACAG